ATGGTTGATATGCCATGGTGATCTTGATGTGCCATTTTTGCATCATGATGTTCCACTATTGATTAGGATGCTCCATCATGTATGTTCCTGATGCTCATGCAAGGATGAATGTACTAGAAGTTCTTGCATGACAGATTGTGATTGGTTGACACCATTTATGGGCCTATGGGCTAATGGGCTGAACCATTAGGGTTTTAGATCTGATCCTTCAAGTATAGGGATGCATGCTGAGTAATTATTGAATTCTATAGTGTTAAGTGAATCTTTGTGAAAATTGTACTCGTAACCTCTGTTTGAGAACTCAAAAATAAAGAATAGTCCCCACATCCCCGTGAACATATGTCACCTTTCCCGAACCACGTAAATACTGTGTCTTGTGTGATTTTGGTTTTTTCTAGTTATCCGCTTTACTTCCTGACAATAAATATAACCACAATATAGTTTTTAGTCAAGACATAAAATTGTAGATCTTTATGTTTTCTTCGTGATTGCAGTTTATAATTTAATCTAGTTGTTTTTAACGACAAAGTAAATAAACTTGACGTAAATAAGAAAGCATATAAACTTTTAATGGTAAACAGTTTATATCAAAACGTAAAAGACGTGATATGCATGTATTCTCCCCCGAAATCATAAAAAATATAAAAGGGGTCGTAGAAACTCACCATTGAAGCGTGAAAAATGTTCGTTTTGAAAATCGGGTGTCGCTTTGCTTTTTTAGACCTTTGAATGGAAAACTTTTTGAACGAACCGACTTCACAGGATGGTAGATCGGGTCGCTAGGAGAAGGAAAAGTAATTTTCGGGGCGATCGGGACTCGTTCGCCTTTTATGAACTTTTAAACAATACATCCGTTCAACATAACGACTTCACAGGTTTTTAGATATGCTCGTCAGTAGTTGGAAAATATACTTTTTGAGCCGAACGAAACTCACTGGAAATCGCTGCTTCACAGTGATGCGTGGCAGAAACGAGTGGCGGTGGACGGTGGTCGTTGGTAGCCGGTCCTCGTCGCGGGCACCATAAAAAGAAAGAAGAAGAGGAGGTAGCGAGAGAAATTAGATCAGATTTTCGAGGAGACTTTTCTCCCTTTTTATAGTAGAAAGTTACGTTTCACCCCCTCTTCTTATGCCGCTTTTTGCCTCGAAAAACGTGTCAAATTTACGGTTTCGTAATTTTTTTTCCAAATATACCGAAAGATTGTCCTGAGTGTGCTAAGTCCAAATATGTAAACGGAATTCTCAAATGATGGGCAATAATATGTTTAAGTTGCAGTTTAAGTTTTGTAAATTTACATTTTTGGCCGGTTAGTTTTTCATTATTCTCAAAAGCCCGTAACTTTTCCGTAAGAACTCCGTTTTTGACGATCTTTATATCCACGAAGTCGTGAGAACATACTTTATCAAATTTGATCATCCATTGTCACCAAGTATACTCAATAAATTTTTTTTTTATTTTTGCCGCATTAACCGATACTTATTTTTACTAATATAATTTTGTTTTCTAACGTTCGACGCCAATTGGAGATACGAAAAATATTCTTTATGCAACTTTGAGTCAAATAACTTCAGTTATATTAAACATCATAGAATATTAAATAATAGGCCCTTTTATAGTTGTTTTCACGATGGTTAGACTGGCGAACTTTGACATATTGTTATATGTATAGACTTTTCTCCCGTGTCTTTGAGGATCGACCCAATTTATTATGGCGGGGATGACATGAAAAAGAAAATCAGTCGGGTGATTTGGCAAAAAAAAACAATCTCTCCTAAAGATAGAGAGGGGGGGGGGGGGGGGGGGTGGGATCAGATGTTTGGGATACTTTAGTCTTTCACTTTTAGCTAAATTGAGGTGCCGGATAAAAAATGGACATGCAAGGTCTTTGGTCCCTGTCAATCCAAGCAATTCATACATTCAATGATTATGATAAAAGCTTGTTTGTTAGGAAAAAATTCCAAGGTACATGGATGTATATAATGAAAATTAAGGAGGAATTCATGGTTGTGATATAAAGTATTTATTTCTTTTTCTAAAATGGATTCCATTTTGTCGTCGGTTAAGTTAAGAGGTTACTGTGGTTTTCTCTTTCTTAATCCTATAGGAATACATTAATATATCCTTTCAGGTATACAAATGATAAGTGAAACCAAATGGCGAATTGATCTAATTAGAGGTTAAAAGAATTTCACTGGTATAAAAATAAGGTGTAGTTGTTGTGGTACATTGATTTATGCTTAGAAAGAAATATTATAGTTTATGGTTGTGGTGATAAACTTGATGTAGAGTTTTTAGTGGATATAGTTTGGTGCATTGACTTGGTTTTGGTTTTGGTTGTTGTAAATTTGTTACTCTTCTTCGCATCTATTGATTCAGATAACCATAAGAAATATTTTTGCATATTATGTTATGCTCAAGCTCTAAAAACATAAAGTTCATTGGAGAGTACATTGCCATGTTGATTCAGTATAGTTGATGTTGGAAGTGCTTGAGAATTCGAAGAACACGTTGCTATTTTGATTCAATGAATTGTTGCCATTGAAGATACTTGAGGATTGGTCTGAATGGAGGAAGTGGTTTTTGTTTATGATCATGCAACTAAGTTAGGGGGTGTTTGGATAGTGAAAAAAGAGAGTGCTTATTGCTTATTGCTTATTTCCACTACAATAAACTAAGTTTAAGTGTTTGTATAAAATCCTTAAAAATCAGCTTATTGTGTTAGGAATAAACTAAATAAGCTAAGTTTAATAAGCATCTCCCCTTGCTTATTGCTTATTGCTTATTCCTAGACCTGACAATTCGTGTATTCGTGTCATGAAAACGTGTCAGCCACGAATTTGACACGATACGATTACACGATGAGAAATAAGCTTTATCTCAAATTTCAGGATGTATTCGTGTCGTGTCGTATCTCTCACAGATTCGTGTATTCATGTCTAGAATTGCCAGGTCCACCACAAATAAGCTTATAAGCAATAAACTCATAAGCTAATCCAAACACCCTTAGTGTTTGTTCTTAGTCTATTATTGTATATTTGGTGTGGTTCATTGTTTTTGCTTCTTGTTTATTATATTCATGTATCATCTTGTAATATTTTGTACTGGTTTAGTTCCTGCTAGTTTTTCTTTCTTTATAAGAGCATCTCGTATGATATCTTTTTTAAAAGTTTTTTACTATTTGAAAAAAGAATGTTTTTTACTATTGAAATTATGGGCTTTTTGAATAGGTTACTCCAAATTCTTCAACCTTTTAATCATGTTATTTATTTGTACATTTTGATCCGCAAATTACTTTCATTTTATGCTCTAGTTTTATTTATATATTAAATATTAAATAATTTTTTATTAATTAACTAATCCAATTAAATATACCAAGTAAAATGAATATATTTTACAAAAAATATATAATGTAAATATAATTGTCAAAACTTCAAAAAACACATATACTTTAAGGAAGACAGCGTATTTCACCCCTCGATCGGAGTAGTTTAATTAGTTGTCAATAGCTTGTGATTCGACCCTCATTTCCGATCAAGTAAATGAGTTTTTGAAGAGTAGAGAAAGCGAACTTCTTTTGAACCAAATCAAAACATATAAGAAGTGCCTTGGAGAACACCTTTTGGATTTTTACAATTTGAAAGGCAACTAGTGCTCTTTGAGGAAAAGGTCTTGGAGATTGTTGTCTAATGAAATTAGAGGGGGGGGGGGGGGTTCTTCTTATTAACGTTCATACTCTATAAAATGACTTTTTGGATAAGTAATTAAGATTAGGAATCGACGAAGATATTCTGAATCAGATCTGGCTGTTTGAGGGAGTTGTGCAAGAGAGAGTTGATTCCCTGATCGAAAGTTGATGCAGTTAGCAAGGAGTTCTTTCCTAAAGAAGTATTTAACCATTCTCTAATCTATGTCATGTTAATCGATTCACCGACATTAGCAAGGCATGATCCATAAAAAAGTAGACACGGTAAAAATGAGAATGAGAATGAGCTCTTCCCTTTTTGGGGGTTCATTATATCACAGTCCATGATTACGTTTTTCGGTTGATTGATGTTGCGTATTGCACACTTATTATATTTGTTTATATAATGGACTACTTGTTTCCATTGGTTGATGTTTTGTATTGCACACTTGTTATATTTGCTTATATAATGATAGTTCTATAACAAATTTCAAGCATCTATGAATTAGTTCCAGGAAAACATCCGTTCACATCATGAATCAAGGTTGTTGATGTAGTTGATATTCTTTTTTTTCCGTCTCGTTTGGTGTTCAGTTTAACGTTTCGTGGGGTACAAGATCGAACAAAAATGCGTTGGATGTATGCTTGAGCATTGAAAAGGAATGACGATTTTAGAGGCGAAAGGCCAAAGAATCCATGGTTTCCCGGTAGTACCCTACTTCGCCCAAGTTGTTTCGGAACTGAAAAAAGCGGTTTAGATGTGGAATTAAATTAGAGAAGGTGTGGTTTGTTTTAAAGTTACAATATGTATTTTTATTGGTAAAAGTTTTGTTTATTAAAAAAAAGTTTGACTAGTCAATGGTCAAGGTAGAGAGAATGCATGGGTTCTCCAACCCGACATGCTACCGTCCAATTGTGTCTACTTTTTCTTAGAACCGACATCTAGGCGTCATCGGGGGTACTGCCGGCCTCCTCCTCCTGCCCGGAGATGACATTGTCCACCCTTATAAGCGGCAAAGAAATCACATTTTTATTACTTTATTATATAAATAAAAAAATTAAAATATAATACTTAAATTGATGAAAAAAAAAGTATAATATTTTGTTGTTTCCTGCTATTTTTCTTTAAGTATGTATTATTACAATATTTCCATACATATATAATATTTTGTTATTTCTTGCGATTTTCCATTCGGAATATATTATTAATATATTTTGATATGAAAAATCAACAAAGGAACCAAACATATTAAACGTAAACACAAAAAATATATATTCTATGTTTAACCAGGAAATTCATAAAACGTAACATTTTCTCTTAGGTGCAATGTGGATTATTTCCAGGCCCTCCAAAAAATATATAATAACCCCAAACACTATCAAACCCATTTTTAACATCATAACAATTTGGTTTTTCTGTTAACAAATTCACATCTCCAACTGGTTTTAACACATTGTTTTCATCAACAATTTCCATGTTCCTAACAAATGAAGCTTTTCCAAACCCTTCAGCTGCAAAGTGGCCACTCCCCATTATGGTTGATGTGGGTTGTTGACCTGGGCTTTGAGCATTATACACCTCTCCACCATATTCAATCGTTGTTGCATGTTTACTAAAGTCAGGGAATAGGGCTACTGGCCAATATCCAACTACAATCTTCCCCACCCTCAACCACCAGTTCCCGTGTCTTGGATCCTGCAAAAGTCCATATAAAATAGTTTAAAAAATATAGTATTATTCCATTAAAATAATAAAAAATATGTTGCATTGGCAAAGTCATGCAAGTATATATGTTGCAGTTTTTGCAAATTAAAATACAACAATTTTAGTAGAACATCATTGAAAAAATTGGTGAGGTTTCTTTTATGATTATTTCCTCGCAATCTTGATAGATTAAAGATTTACCTTCCAGATTAGTACGTTGATATCGTACTGTGCACCATTATACGTTGATACTGGATCAAGAGTAGCTCCAAGACAAATCTCATGAGTCGTTTGTACAAACCCCGAACACAATAAATTGTAGCATCCAGATCGATACCCGTCGTTCTGTAATATTAATTTTTGAGCTCAAACTATCATCATTAATATCTTAAAAGCATACCCAATTAAGATCACTATCAATGTCGAAGGTATGTAACATAAAATAATATATAGTAGTACATTATAAGTACCCCAAAATTATCTTCCACCACCCTTATTAAGATTAAATGGAAAAAAATGTTGTCTTCCTTTTTTAGACAATCCTTAAATGAAAACTTTTGCGTTGACAAAGAATATGTTAATTACATCCATAATATATTGAACTTATTAAAATTAAATAAAATTAAATAAAACATCTTTATAACCAAGAGGCCCTAGGCCAAGTGGTATGGTGAGATGTCCTCCCTCCATAAGATTGAGGATTTAAATCACGCATGAGACATATGTGATTTTAGGGGTAGATTAGAGTGTGTGTGGTTTTTCTTAAAAAAAAGCATATTTACAGAATATAACTTATGACATTAATTTTTTTTGAAGCGACAAACGATTCAGCGGAAGACTCACCAAAATATATTTTTTTTGTGACATGATTTCTTTTTTTCTTACTGAATGGTTGAATGGTCATTGAATTCCATATAAATTGAATGTAAACATAACATTTGATAATGATAATTTGATAATGATAGAGTTCAATCCATTGAATGTCAATTAGACATATCATCTCATTCAATAATTTCATTGAACTTTTCATTGTGAATACTCTAATAAATAAACATTTGATAATGATAATTTGATAATGATAGAGTTCAATCCATTGAATGTCAATTAGACATATCATCTCATTCA